CCTGGGACATACAAAACCTTAATTCACCGCGACAAGATAAAAACTCATGTGAAGTATTCTAATGTTCCCAGTACTGAAGGTCAAACTGAAGGATATTGAAACCTTCCCTTTAGAAATCCTAATTGATCCAACATACCGTATCCACCATAAAAAGTGCCATCCACCCCCAAATTCTAGACTAATCTGTAAGTAATTGTTATCATATTATAAGCACCTAAAATTTACATGACATATTTTCTTGTGTATTTTTACTGAAGACAGTAACAAAGAAGGGGTATATTTCTGAAAACAAATTTACATAGTTGGGAAAGGTTTTTGTCATATTTCTAAGTGGCCAGTATATGTAATACTGTAATAATAACCAGGGCCTATCTCCGAACTAAACACTGACTGTGTTATACCATGACCTTGTTGTACATGAACACAACATTGTGTTACATTGTCTAGACCCTGGATATGAACACAACATTGTGTTACATTGTCTAGACCCTGGACATGAACACAGCCTTGTGTTACATTGTCTAGACCCTGGATATGAACACAACATTGTGTTACATTGTCTAGACCCTGGATATGAACACAGCCTTGTGTTACATTGTCTAGACCCTGGATATGAACACAACATTGTGTTACATTGTCTAGACCCTGGATATGAACACAGCATTGTGTTACATTGTCTAGACCCTGGATATGAACACAACATTGTGTTACATTGTCTAGACCCTGGACATGAACACAGCCTTGTGTTACATTGTCTAGACCCTGGATATGAACACAACATTGTGTTACATTGTCTAGACCCTGGATATGAACACAGCATTGTGTTACATTGTCTAGACCCTGGATATGAACACAACATTGTGTTACATTGTCTAGACCCTGGACATGAACACAGCCTTGTGTTACATTGTCTAGACCCTGGATATGAACACAACATTGTGTTACATTGTCTAGACCCTGGATATGAACACAACATTGTGTTACATTGTCTAGACCCTGGATATGAACACAACATTGTGTTACATTGTCTAGACCCTGGACATGAACACAGCCTTGTGTTACATTGTCTAGACTCTGGATATGAACACAGCCTTGTGCTACATTGTCAAGCATCATGTTGCATATGAAGACAACACTGTTACACCTTTTGAAAGATCCAGGCATAACATGCTATAAGCATCACACAGGTAAAGCACTAATACAACTATTATGCACTGGGGCACCTCTGTGCTGTCACTATATCATTCCACTACCAAACAATGTGGTATTCTTTGCAGTTACCTTAACACAAAACATGGTAAAACAAAACTCATATATATCTGGGGACCTCGAGGTTAATTTTGCACTATCGCATTCACATCTTGGCCCCCTTAATCTTCAATTCTACCAATGACAGAAAACCCCTTGACTTTCGAGCGTAATTTCAAACACCGATCTTCATACCAAGCACAGAGTTGTAAATATTCAGGAATATATACAGTGACTAGGTTGATACGAGTATGATCATCATGGCAAGTGTTTTGTCTCTGTCAATGAGGCCTTGAGGCTGTGAACGATAGCAGTATAACTAAAAATATGAGCATCTAAGAGGAAAGTGTCAGCATGATCAGCGATGTAATGTAAAGAGGGATCTATAGACAGCAAACACTGCCGTAGAGTAAGAACGAAGGGGGGTAACTCTTGATGAACACACATCGCGCCAAAGATAGACACCTATTTTCAGAAAATGACCAATGACCTAAAGAATACACCCCACATCCTTTGTTTCATATGTGTCTAAGTCAACCCTCATCCTTCTAATTAATTACACTGTATCGACGCATATATATGTCAACACACAAATGTCAAGTTACTTTATATAATATCTACAACCAACAATAATATAATTTTATAGAAGTTTGAGCTAGGGTTGAACACTAAGTGAATATGTGATTGGATAGGATTTTGTGATACTACACAAGGTATCACTAGATTATGAGACCTGAGATGACAATATTCTTATCTACAAGGTAAATAACACAAATTCAGTTTGAAGTCTTCGATCTTTTTTCTCCTAGAGAGAGGAGAATTCAATGATATTATAATAAATATATCTCTTTTCCATGACACTATAATAACTATACATTCTTGTAGTTTTCATCACACAAAAATGAAGAAACATTTTATGAAATATTAAGATAAGGCAGAAAAAAAAAATAGTCTTGGTTCTCAGGCACAGCCTGCATCATCACGTTCGCTGCACGTTTCATTTTTATTTCCATTTTAAAAAAAATAAAAAATCCTTAAATATTCTATACCGTACTGTAATCCAGTATTTCACTCATCAAGGAATACATTTATGTAGGGAGGCCCTTTCCCAGGCTGCTTATTGATTACACAACTGTTTATTGGTAACATACTAGTTTGACCCTCCGCCCCGCCCGCCCAAAAAAGGAAAAAAAAAACACCGCACGCCTGCACTATATTTTCATAAAACATTGCCTGAGAACCAATTCTTTTATTTTTTTAAGCCTAACATATCTGAAATTACTTGGCAAAGAGTAAGTGCGATCCAACAGAGTTTCTTTACGCAATGGACAATGTAAAGATGTAAGTATAGACAGTTGAGAAAGGGTGCCGACTGGCTGTTGCTAAAATACTTCGGCAAAAAATGAAATGGCCAGCAGCAAGGTCAAGGTAAGAAGCACAAAGGTCAGAACATGTACACAACATGGAGCTATCACACAGTATCACAAAACATGGAGAAATAAACTGAGGGATTCAGGCAACAGACTTGAATGTTCAATGAAAGAAATTACAAGTGTAGTAGAAGCTTCGTACTACAAACAAAGAAAGATGTCAAATATCTTCCGAAAACATGCAACAAAGTATAGTTATTGCTTTCCAACTGAACTACGGTAACTGAACTTACACAACACTCATAACATAATATTGCTATTGCTTCAAAGCATGTAAGCTGGTGACTATATGAAAATATATATACTTTCTAGACGTTAACTAGTTCACTGTAACTATGGTAACTGGAGAACAATGTCTTTATGTTCTACTACCAAACAATGTCCCAATAGAACAGTGGTATTCAAGATGTAGGCTGGTGTGTTGTGTCCAACGTTTCATGAGAGGTATGTTTTCAAAATTTTGAATGGAAAATTACCTGGTTGCTGTGAATGATTTTGATCAAGGCACATTTATGACCCAGCATGATAACAACATGCCCTGCTACTGACGCAATAAAAATGATAATTACGCACCATGTCAGCATCATTAATAATACTTTACTTCCATGGATATGTATTTCAGATACATTTTTCATCTTCAAGGAAACATCATAATACACTCATGGAGAAAAATGTGCACATCAACGTATTTCAGTTTTAAGCATGAAGTGATGGTCAATTGTCAATAAATTCTATGAGGTCATACCCCGAGGGTGAGGTCAGGAGGGTGAAATGGGGTTTAACATCGCGTTCAAGGTTATTGCACTTACATAGTGAGGTGAAATTGGGTTTAACGTCGCGTCCAAGATTATTGCACTTATATAGCAACGTGCATGCACGTGTATGTGTGGCTGCTTGTACTAGTCCGGACTGATGCCGATTTATAGTGCTAGCACACTGAGATACCATGCCACAGTTTAACATGAATACCCCACACAGACACAGTATACTGACTCCGAGCCGACCAGTCCTTGTTTTAGCCCCTTTATGTCGAGCGCCAGACAGGGTAACAACAAGTACCATCTTTTAACATCTTTTGGTATGACGCGGCCGGGGATCGAACCCCGGACCTTCCGCTCTCCGGGCGGACGCTCTACCACAAGACCATGGAGGCGGCCGCACTTACATAGTGACGTGCATGTATGAGTGTGTGTGGCTGCTTGTGCTAGTCCTGACTAATGCCAATGTTACAGTGCTAACCCACTGAGAGATACCATGTTGTAGTTTAACATGAATACCCCACTCAGACACAGCATACTGACTCCGAGCCGACCAGTCCTTGTTTTAGCCCCTGAATGCCAAGTGCGAGGCAGGGTAACAACAAGTACCATCTTTTAACGTCATTTGGTAGGACGCGGCCAGGACCCCCGAATTTCCATAGCAATACAACATTGTGATGAGCCAAGAAATGTGAGAGGGTAGTGGGTGGATTCGGCACTTGACACATTTCAATTATTATTATTATTATTATTGACGATAGGTTGATTGGAACCAAAACACGAGAGAGTTGTGTCCGGATGGCAAGAACACACCAGCAGCCATCCTTAAGAAGCAATGTCAAAGTAGAACACTGTTGTACAGTAGAACATAAAGTAGAACACTGTTGTACAGTAGAACATAAAGTAGAACAATGTTGACAAAGTAGAACACTACCATCACTGCTATAAAACCAAAGTGCTATCTAAAGCTCCGTGATAATGCCATTTCTTACCAGTCAACAGTCTCAGGCACTTCAGGAAATATACTGTTAACACAGTCACAGTGTCAGTTAATAGGGAATATGAGAAGACTTGTTCTGTTAGTGTTTAATGGCAACTATTGTTGTTATGGTGATTGCTGTATCGGAAACAGTGAATACACACCCATATCACAGTCATCACTCTTTGGTGCTATATCTCGACAGCAGTTCAGTAGTCAACTTAAGAGTTAATGTAAACGACATGAAAAATCTTTTGTGAAAAAGCATATTCTTGCGATCTTTTCACAGTATGTGACATATTGCTGAGAAACATAACACACTGACATAGCAAATGACACAAGCTAAGTTACACGAACAAAATGTCATCCAACTTGAAACTGTCTGCCCCATACATACTTGTTGGACTCTGTAACATTGGAGTCTTACATACTTGACCACATTAGTGTGAGTGAGTGAGTTGGGTTTAACGCCGCTTTGAATGGTATTCCAGTTACATCACGGCGTGTCAGCTTAATGTGGGACGAAAGCCCGAAGTGATGCAGGTCTCAGACATTTACCACTTCGGTGAAACCAACGAGCATGGGTATGGTGCTGACAAACCTAGAAACATGATCGGGGCGAACCAGGATTCGAACCAACAATCATGGGGTTCTGGCGTGCACAAGGGACGCAACTCTGCACAATGAATCGCAGTGCCTTAGACAACTTGGGCACCCGTGGCCCCTGACCACATTAGTGCCATGCTCTGAAACTGTATCTGGGTCAGGCCTCGGTGGCTGACACACACCTTATTTTAGGCTAAGGGGTTGAGATGGTTTTTAAAAAATATTCCGTTCCTGAAATTCTAAAAGAATTTTTTTTCCATATGTTTTACATCACGGGTGAGCCAAGCCAGTAGAGTGTCATTACTACACCATATTATTGAGATTGCTCCCGGATGAAATAATGACATTGTTCTATATAAGGAGTTTAAGGGTTAGATCTAATGAGGTTTGACTCATCAAGAGATTAATCTAGGATTTCAATCAACTGCCCGTGTCAGGCAAAAGGGAAAAGGCATTGTTAGTTTGAGATATTTTTAAGCTATTATTTTCTTAAATTTTAGCAATGCATTGAATCCAATAATGAAAAGTATCTTCCTCTTTATCAGCATACAAGTCACACTTAAAAGATATAGCACTAGTCATAATTATGCTAACCTGAATTATATTTAATTCCAAGTTGGGAAATTTAACTTTAATTCAACTACTTATTTGAAGTAGGCCGGGTTGGACATCTGAAACGCCTCGATGTTGTCTGACAAAGTATACCGTTGGAGAAAAAATTATTTTCTCAATCACATTTCAATGTTACTGTTCAAAAAATCAAACTGAATATGGAACATGGCGAACTAACGGATCAGAGACCATCGGCGCTAGCATATGCAGCAGACAGTAACAGATATAAACATTGTCAACACTTCACGGTTCTGCATACATACGTTCCTCCATCACCTTTAAAAACAATGGCCGCTTTGAACTGTAGTTGCTATTTTTAACCATTAATCAAGTCATGATCTGGCTCCAATGATAGGAAAACCAGTGCTCTGACCTATGAGAGCTCAGATAACAACGGCAATATTTCTCATGAAACATGCACTACAGCCATGCAGCCATGAACTGTGTCAACAGCATTAGAAACTAACAGTTTTAGTCCCCAAGTCCTTATTATGTTAACATAAAGCAAAACCCTTAAAAATGGCAAATTTCTACTAGTCCTTATGATACCTTAACTATTGGGCACTTTGGCAAGGACAATAAGACTAGTGCCAATTTCTAATGTTGGTGTCAATATCAGGCAACGGTTCTCACAAAATTCAGTGTACAAAGAGCTTGTTTGACTTCAATGGGCTACAGTTACACAAGTCTCTATTTCAACGCTCGACTTGAACTAGACCCACATCTCTACTACCCTGCATTTCGGCATCCATGGGTATTGAAGTATCCACAATGAGAGAACATATGCTGACATGAAAACATCACAGAACACCCTCATACAGAGATGGATTTCAGTTATAAAATAAGACAGTTGTAAAAAATATCCACATTGTAAAATGCCATCTTCCTAGCTTGTTCCCCGGTATATACAAAGTCTGAAGTGTTAAAATGCCATCTGGATGGGGATGAGGTCTTCACAATGGCAGCGATATCGTTGCTTGAAGGTCAATGCATGAAGTTACCAATCTGGCGAGAAGGGAGACAATTCACATTGGGAGTTTTGTCACCAGAGGGCAGTGGTTCCATCTTTCCCAACTATCAGCTGAAGACCTTGTGAAGCTGAAAGTGGGAAAAACAAGGGGTTGAGTTTGGGCTACATCTGCTCTGAACAGTAGTGATGCAGGTCCTAGACGCTTACCGCATCAATGAACTTCACATGCATGATGCTGACAAACCTTGAGACGTACAATCTCATTAAAATCAGATCTTAGTTCTCGCTGCCGCTAAACAAAGAACTGAGGACATCCCATTACGGGTCACGTCAGACCGACTTTTCGCGAAATCTGACCGACTACACTTCGAAACATATTTTGACAAATTCTCGCTTAAAAATTTGAAACCTGAACAAAAGGCCATTCTCGAATGGATAATATATGGTCTAGATTGTATAGATTCAGTCGTTAAGCCCGTAACTATGGTTCGGAATACCCAGTTTTAAAGTTTTCGAGGCTGCATGATGAGCTATCCCATTCCGACTGTCACTTTCATGATCTGGTAAGTGACACTATGATTAGACAGATGAAAGGTCGTTCTGACGTGACCCCAAATGGGATGTCCTCAGATCTTTGTTTAGCGGTAGTGAGAACTAAGATCTGATTTTAATGAGATTGTGAGAGGTAATGAGGGAGAATCTCGGATTTGAATCCACCATGATAAGTCTCCGGTACAAATGAGGGAAGCAACTCTGCACAGTGAATTGTAGGCCTTAGACAACTGGGTACCCCTTCATGGTGCACCTTCATAAGTGAGTGAGTAGGGCTGTACACCGTTTTTACCATCATTTCAGCAATATCATAATACCACCAGAACAACATTTCACACACTGCTAGCGTTAAAGGTTTACCAAATCAGTACTCAAACACGAAGTGTGTACAAAGTGAGTTTGCTACACCTCACCCATCAATATTCCAGCTATATGACAGCCACGAGTCTGGACCAGACAATCCAGTGATTGATATCATGAGCATCGATCTACATACGATGTATACGATGACATGCATCAACCAAGTCACCGGGCTTGACTTCACACTTAACTCAGCTGCCTCTTACAACAAGCAAAGGTTGCTGGGTACCAATTCTAATTCGGAAATTATGCCCTGCTGCTGGCGTGGATCTCTTACGTAACGAAACAAAAACTGCCTGGATATCCTACATTCTTCATCCTTTTCCACCGGTCCGAGATCTGTCCCCTCGAGAAGTTCATCCACCAGAGCCTCGGCATTCACACGCGTCTGGTCCACCCGCAGCTCCTTCCCAGAGTCCTCTAGTTTCTGTACGGACCAATCAGAGATGAGACTTAGATACTGTTTGATGACAACAGATTTTCAAAAAAACATTTTTTACCTTTATTCTGATGTGACATTTATAGCTTAACACAAATGGAGTTTAATGTTGTGACTAGATTACTGGATTACCATGCCAGGCAGGGTAACAACAAGTACCATCTTTAAACCTATGTTTGCATGACGCGGCCAGGGATAGAACCCCATACCTTCCGCTCTACTACAAGATCACAGAGGCGGTGTCACTCAAGACATTTATAACCCTAATATTGACTCTGAATCTAGAAGTTTTATCTTTTTAACTGTAAAGAGTGAGTGAGTGAGTTGGGTTTAACGCCGCTTTTAACAGTATTACAGTTATATCACGGTGTGTCAGCTTAATGTTTGGAGGAAAGCCCGAAGTGATGCAGGTCTCAGACGTTTACCACTTCGGTGAAACCCACGAGCATGGGTATGGTGCTGACAAACCTAGAAACATAATCGGGTCGAACCTGGATTCAAACCCACAATCACAGGTTTGCTGCGCCTTAGACAACTGGGCAACCCGTGCCCCTGAATTGGAAAGAATCAATAATTCATTACATACTTTCTAATCTGTAACTAAGTCACAATCTAAACATATGGTAGAAACATTTGGATATTTGCTTGTTTAGAATTATAGAGCCCTCAATACATTTGCAAATCAGTAGATAAATTGATAATAATAATGATCTAAATACTTTGACCAAATGGCATGAAAAAGTAAATGCATCATTTACAGCTTTGTAACTAATGCATGAAAATAATACACTAAATTCAAAAAAGAAAAGATTGTGCTTTAAAGAAACAGTGAAAAACATCTTCTATGAGACAAAAGAGTGTAAAAATAACGTAATGTAGCTGCGTATATGAAGCACTCAACAAACATATACTCCAGAGCTAAACTGGTGCAGAAATGTTAACAAGTCATCTGACAGAAAACATATGAAGTAAACATTTCCTTTTCTTCAGAACTGACCATATAAATAAGAGTGACATATTATCTTGATCTGCAAACTTAAGACTTGTTTAGCAAGTGTTAGGGAATCAGCAATATGGAAACTTTGAAGCAATTAGCACATATTCAAGTCAGTATCAGTGGTCGAAAGTGGGAGCACCACATCATGAGGGCTGCAAGTTACGGTGATGCGGAGGCTATACATGGCCCTTTAACATTGAGTATAGGTAGCTACAACAAAGCCAAAATAATAGGGTGATATAGGGTTAATATTACTATATGAGGCCATAGGACACTGCACTGTGGCCATCAGAAACAATTTGGTTACCTATAGCTGCAAAACTAAGGTAGTCTAGAATAGTCCCAATACCAATTAGTAAGGCAGCATTTTCTAGGATTACTGGTATACAAAAAATACATGAATTTAACTAAAGGTCAATAGTAAGCAATAATAGTCAAATGTTACAAATAAAGAATTAATAGTTAAAAGTTAAATTAAACATCAAAATTTGCATATGAATAATGGGTTTGTTTGTTTGTTTGTTTGTTGTTTCACTCCTCAGCAATATTCCAGCTGTACAACAGAGGCCATTAAATAATCAAATCTGGACCAGACAATCCAGGGATTGATATTGGAGCAGCAATCCACGTTTGGATTACGATGGCACACAATCGAGTTTAATCATTCATTTGCAAATAATGACTGTTATTAGTACCATTTAAAACTTTTTTAATAACATTTGACTCTTGCTGCGTTCATAGTAACATTTAATACTTTATTAGTAACATTTGACAATTATTGCGTACTGGTGACCTTTATTTCAATAGATGTATTGCTTGGCCAAATGGCCGCCATATACTAGTCTTCTGTTTTACTGGTCTCAGTGCAACACGCTCATGTTAACTACTGACCATTTTTACTGTGATATATATATGGCCTGTTACCATGGTTACATAGAAAAAAGAGTGCTATATACATATAGAGAGAGTGTCACATCAGATTAAGCAGAACAATAAATAGAGACACCCATGATCAACAACACCGAGAAGCAAAGTATTATACCTCCACCAGGGGGCGAGGACCCTGAAGGTCACATCCCATAACCCCCATCCCCTTGCTGACTTTCCATGTCATAACTCCCCACCCTGACTGTGACCCCCACTATCATGATCCACCCCATTGTGACCCCCATCCCATTGTGACCCCCCAATACCATGACCCCCTATATCATGACCCAACCCTTTTATGACCCCCAATATCATGATCCCATCCCACTGCGACCCCCCAATATCATGACCCCACCCCATTGTGACCGCCTATATGTTGATCCCATCCCACTGCGACCCCCCGATACCATGACCCCCTATATCATGACCCAATCCCATTGTGACCGCCTATATCAAGATCCAATCCCACTGCAACCCCCCAATATCATGACCCCCTATATCATGACCCAACTCCATTGCGACCCCCAATATCATGACCCCACCCCATTGTGACCGCCTATATCTTGATCCATCCCACTGCGACCCCCCAATATCATGACCCCCTATATCATGACCCCACCCCATTGTGACCGCCTATATCAAGATCCCATCCCACTGCGACCCCCCAATATCATGACCCCCTATATTATGACCAACCCCATTGTGACCCCCAATATGACCCCACCCCATTGTGACCGCCTATATCATGATCCCATCCCACTGCGACCCCCCGATACCATGACCCCCTATATCATGACCCAACCCAATTGCGACCGCCTATATCATGATCCCATCCCACTGCGACCCCCCAATATCATGACCCCCTATATCATGACCCAACCCCATTGTGACCCCCAATATGACCCCACCCCATTGTGACCGCCTATATCATGATCCCATCCCACCCCCCGATACCATGACCCCCTATATCATGACCCAACCCCATTGCGACCGCCTATATCATGATCCCATCCCACTGCGACCCCCCAATATCATGACCCCCTATATTATGACCCAACCCCATTGTGACCCCAATATGACCCCACCCCATTGTGACCGCCTATATCATGATCCCATCCCACTGCGACCCCCTGATACCATGACCCCCTATATCATGACCCAACCCCAGTGCGACCGCCTATATCATGATCCCATCCCACTGCAACCCCCCAATATCATGACCCCCATATCAAGATCCCATCCCACTGTGACCCCAATATCATGACCCCACCCCATTGCAACCCCCTTTATCAAGATCCCATCCCACTGCGACCCCCCAATATCATGGCCCCACCCCATTGTGACCGCCTATATCATGATCCCATCCCACTGCGACCCCCCGATACCATAACCCAAACCGATGTTGACCCCCAATACCATGACCCCACCCAATGGTGACCCCGAACCATGACCCCACCCGATGGTGACCCCTAACCCATTCCAGGTGTAAGTAGCGCAGAGAGAGAAGAAAGTGGTATTACATGCTGACTCACTCTCCGCCGCTCCGCTTTCCACTCTAGCGATGACCCCGTGCTCGGAGTTCTGAAACAGTCAAACATCACAATCATACACATAGTCGGATATGCCCAACTCAGTCACAATATAGTAGTAATCAATCACCACTATGTCCTAATCACACCGAGTATTAACAAAGATTAATGTACACAACCCAGGTAATTCTGTGTAAATGTTTTCCTCGTTTCGTACAGTTTACAGTCAAGTTCATTACCACTGAGGACTGTGTTAGGTACTGTGTTTTCTTCTATAGTAATTTATTTCCCTATTAACTCACTCAATATAATCCCCACAGCTTTTGTCAGCTGTACAGATCAAATTTATGACTGCAATAATTCAAGCTATTCCTTCATCAATGAACACATATATGTCAAAAAAAAGTTATAAAGGCCAGGCTTTTTTTTATTTTTAAGATTAAGGATTTTTCAGTCCAGGGTTGGAGGAAGGAAAAGAAAAAAAAGAAAAAAAAGAAGCCAGATGCATTTTTTTTAATGCAGAATGCCTCTGGCCTACTTTATGAACATATTCTGTGCTCAAAAGATCTGTGACGATAAAGCCCCTTGTAACAATAAACATTCTACCACTTACAACACGGACAATTGTCAAGGGAGGCTATTCATGTTTGGCTTTGATTATGTATCTCTTTTCTAGTTTACAACGGTAAATTCATATGTTTTTTATCAAAAGGTGATGATAACAAATAAAATAACTGACTACGTGGCTATCGGCGGGGGGAAAAGATATGGAAATCTGATATATTTTTTTTACATTTTCTCAAAAATTAGAGTCGGCCAGTCCGTAATCCGAAAAACATAAAACGCCTGGCCTAACAAAGATATTGTACCATCTTGAAACAATTCATTGAAAACTTTGATATAATTATATTCAAGCTATATGACAGCGGTCTGTAAATAATGGAACTTGTCCAGACAATCCAGTGACTTATATTATGAGCCATGCCATCAGGGTTCGATGACAATCATCGAAGTCACCGAGTCTGACCCCCTGATCCATTTGGTCACTGGCAGCATAGGCTACAAGGGGTACTTCATTATGAATTCAAAATGACTCAACGACTCATCACCAATAAACAAGCCACATTCCATACATACGGCAACACAGTAACAACAGACCTGCCATTTGTTTACTTTACTGTGCATTATTTACATTACTTTACTCCATACCAAGTAAACCCTCGAATATTGTCATGCTCCAACTTGGCAATGCATTCCTTTAATAAGGTTATTCATGTCTTGTATACTTCATGACATATGAAAAATCATGTTAAACAGTTGCCATGGAAACTGAGCATGCATCATCTTCTCCCACAATGCACGTGCATTCTGATGATTGAGATATTTTTGTATGAACAAGTTACAGGTCAGTGCATTGGCGTGATGATGTTTTGGCTGCCCTTATCTTCAATGAGCTGTATACCCCCTTCATATGATGGGAGCATAGAAGACAGCAATCAGTGTACTTCCCTCAGTACCAGTTCTGGGCCTACATAAAACTCCATGTCATGTCAGTCCTGTGAGTGAGTGAGTTGTGTTTAACACCACTTAACAGTATTTCAGTTGTATCACGGCGTGTCAGCTTGATGTTAAAGGAAAGCCTGCAGTGATGTTGGACTAGGATGTTTACCACTATGGGTATGGTGCTGACAGACCTAGAAACATAATCAGGGTGAACTGGAGTGAGTGTGAGTGAGTGAGTTGAGTTTAACGCCGCTTTTAACAGTATTACAGTTATATCACGGCATGGTAGCTTAATGTGGGAGGAAAGCCCGAAGTGATGCAGGTATCAGACATTTACAACTTCGGTGAAAGCCACGAGCACGGGTATGGTGCTGACAAACCTAGAAACATAATCGGGGCGAACCGGAATTGGAACCCACAATCATAGGTTTCTGGCGTGCCCAAGGGACGCAACACTGCACAGCAAATCGCGGCGCCGTAGATGACTGGGCCACCCGTGCCCCTAGGGTAAACTGGAACTTGAAACCATGATCATAGGTTCCTTGCACGCCTAAGGGACACAACTCTGCACAGTGAACAAAGGCGCCTTAGTGATGCAGGTCCTAGATGTTTACCACTTGGCGAAACCCATGAGCTGACAAATCCAGAAACATTATCAGTTGAATCTGGAATTCGAACCTACAGTCCCAGTATATTATATCAGGATACATCTGTCAATACAGTGAGTGAGGTTTCAGCAATATTTCAGCAAATTTCACAGTGGGGGACACCACAAATTGGCTTCACACATTGTACCCTTGTGGGGAATCAAACCCAGGCCTTGACTGACAAGTGAAAGCCATACCACTACCATACCAAAGCGATGTTTTACAAACATCAAATACCATCTTGTCAACAGATTTTTAATGTTACCATGGATACCCTGAGGTGAGTTACTATGTTTGTTCGTTTATTGTTTAAAGCCACACTCAGCAATGTTCCATCTTTATGACGGTACTATGAAACTATTCAATGCTGAGTAGCTTACATGTAATATCTATTGCTATAAACACTGGTACTACCCTTGTCTAGGATGAAGCACAAAGTTATTCAGGAAATGAAAAATGAAAGTCTAACTAGGAGGGGTGTGATGTAAGCAAGCAATCAATACAACACAATGCCCTATTTAACATGTTTGAATAATTGTTGTTTTGGTTATTTTCTTCTACAAAATTCTGGGCTAGTCCCTCCTTACAGCAAGAGTGAGTGAGTGAGTATGGTTTAATGCCGCTTTTAGCAATATTCCAGCAATATCACAGCAGGGGACACCAGAAATGGGCTTCACACATTGTACCCATGTCAGGAATCGAACCCGGGTCTTCGGCGTGACGAGCGAACGCTTTAACCAGTAGGCTACTCGACCGCCCCCTTACAGCAAGAAGTATTCTAGTGTAGCTATATTGTGTAAATTCATCAAGGGCTGGCACTAATTCAGATGGAGTTAGAATGAGTGAGCGAGTTGGGTTTAATGAACAGCTTACTGTGGGATGAAAGCCCGAAGTGATGCAGGTCTCAGACGTTTACCACCTTGGGGAAACCCTCAAGCACAGGTATGGTGCTGACAAACCTAGAAACATATTAGGGCGAACCGGGATTCAAACCCACGATTTTAGATTTCTTGCGTGCACAAGGGAAGCAACTCTGCAAAGTGAATTGCACCCGCACCCCCAGATGGAGCTAGGACTACAGTTATTAGACATCAGCATCAGTTTGGAACACATCATTCTCCACAGTGTCCTATGCAAAGTCAGCATTATTTAAGATTTCTGAACCAATGTCACTAATTTATGCAAGTATGTGTACTGTTAATTGTTGTGAACACATCACACAAAAGAGGTGCAGAAACATCACACGTGATGTCAGGAGTTTCTTAATGATGTTATGCAGCACCATAGTGAAAGACGTTAGGAGTGAGTGAGTGAGTATGGTTTTACGCCGCTTTTAGCAATATTCCAGCAATATCACGGCGGGGGCTTCACACATTGTACCCATGTCGGGAATTGAACCCAGGTCTTTGGCATGACGAGCGAACGCTTTAACCACTAGGCTACCCAACCACCCCGAAAGACGTTAGGAAGATACAGCCAGGTCAGATCTGCATTGCTCCAAACTTGCAGGTCAATTAGTCTGAGACAAGCAAAATTCAGCATGGGCTAGTGTCATTTCCTTGTGGACTACCCCTTGTGCCATAAGGTAGATGGCAACTAAAAGGTTATATCCTTGTGTTACCGGTTTTCGAGACCCTTAGAAGTATTTCTGATTACATGTCTAATAACAATTCCACTGCAATTACGTCTTACCTTGGAGAACATTCATTTCTGTTAACACTTGAATGGTCAAATGACCATGTCTTGTTAATTTTATAGCAAAAATGCCCCGCCAAGGGAGACAAGTCGATCACGTGCCATCTTGTTACCATCACATGATTTCAAGCCCCTTCATTACAGTTAAGTTAAAATAGATACACAACATGGTCAGTCACATGACATAACAGACAGGAAGTTTACTAGATAAACACTTAGTCTCTGAAATTATATACTTTTGATAGAAACAAATAACCTGATTTAAATTGAAAAGGATCCCCGGTGAGATGAAAATTTAGACTTTCTTTTGCATTACAGAAAAGGCTGGGTGAAAGGGAAAATAACATGGTTCGGGGACTGTGAGTTTACAAACAGCAGCTGATACATCATCGGTGCATACGATGGTTCTGATGCAAAATTATCATCAGATCAAGTTTGATTAAAATGTGCATGAGTGGAAAAGCAAGTCTTGGGGGAAGTTTTCATTACTTCTTGAACATCTTTCGTGTAGCTTAATTCATAACACAACTCCAGCAGCAAGAGGCGACACTTTGTCGTCAGTGGGCCTTGAAGTGTCTACCTTGATTACGTCATTAAGCGCTAGGTTACGTATTGTTTAGGGGCAAGGCTCGAAATCATGTGACTGGGTACATGTCATGTACCGGTAACCTCAATGCAATTGATGATGACTATCATTTTCTGTTAATCTGTCCATATTTTACCTCTCTTGGAAAACATGTTTCTATTCTATTACACTAATTGCCCTAATAAGCTTAAGTCAAATCAGTTACGTTTGTATAATGGTAAGAATATCTTCTGTGGGAGTTCTGCTTAATTTAGAAAAGCACTAGCTAAGAAAACACTGTTAGTGTAATGACGATTTGTCACATGGCCTATGGCCTTATTACAGAAATAAACTTCTATCTAAAGTCACTATATGGTCTACAGAAGTGAACATGGTGGCTTTAGAGGGTTCGAATAAATCCTTAATGATTTCTTGCTCCAAAGGAAATAGAAACAGCTAAACAACTACTGCTATTGGTTGAGAGGGTTACTGGGCTTGGCGACTACAAGGTGAATATGTTTTGAGAATATATGAAAACACGTAAGCAAGGAGAAGATACTTTGGGTTGGTATGTAGAAATGACATGAAAAGATCATTTTCATATTTCCTGACAAAGCTGGAAAACATTCAATAAAAAATGAATTGGCTGCTAATCACAAACCTACAATTTGTATTTAATATCAATCAAATCACAAAAATAATCCATGAGGCCCTTACCATGCTTAATGACCCTTCTTATGGGTCATAATCCAATCTCATAACAAATATCCCTTTTGGGCCATAACCCTATCTCTTCACATATATCCCTGTGGGTGCTACCTCTATACCATGGCCCTAACTGGCCCTTCTTTTGGGCCATAACCCTATCTCTTCACAAATATCCCCATGGGTGCTACCTCTATACCATGGCCCTAACTGGTCCTTCTTTTGGGTCATAACCCTATCTCTTCACAAATATCCCCATGGGTGCTACCTCTATACCATGGCCCTAACAGGTCCTTCTTTTGGGTCATAACCCTATCTCTTCACAAATATCCCCATGGGTGCTACCTCTATACCATGGCCCTAACTGGCCCTTCTTTTGGGCCATAACCCTATCTCTTCACAAATATCCCCATGGGTGCTACCTCTATACCATGGCCCTAACTGGTCCTTCTTTTGGGTCATAACCCTATCTCTTCACAAATATCCCCATGGGTGCTACCTCTATACCATGGCCCTAACTGGTCCTTCTTTTGGGCCATAACCCTATCTCTTCACAAATATCCCCATGGGTGCTACCTCTATACCTGGGCCCACACAGGCCCTACTTTTGGGCCATAACCCTATCTCTTCACAAATATCCCCATGGGTGCTACCTCTATACCTGGGCCAACAGGCCCTACTTTTGGGCCATAACCCTATCTCTTCACAAATATCCCCATGGGTGCTACCTCTATACCTGGGCCCACACAGGCCCTACTTTTGGGCCATAACCCTATCTCTTCACAAATATCCCCATGGGTGCTACCTCTATACCTGGGCCCACACAGGCCCTACTTTTGGGCCATAACCCTATCTCTTCACAAATATCCCCATGGGTGCTACCTCTATACCTGGGCCCACACAGGCCCTACTTTTGGGCCATAACCCTATCTCTTCACAAATATCCCCATGGGTGCTACCTCTATACCTGGGCCCACACAGGCCCTTCTTTTGGGCCATAACCCTATCTCTTCACAAATATCCCCATGGGTGCTACCTCTATACCTGGGCCCACACAGGCCCTACTTTTGGGCCATAACCCTATCTCTTCACAAATATCCCCATGGGTGCTACCTCTATACCTGGGCCCACACAGGCCCTACTTTTGGGCCATAACCCTATCTCTTCACAAATATCCCCATGGGTGCTACCTCTATACCATGGCCCACACAGGCCCTTCTTTTGGGCCATAACCCTATCTCTTCACAAATATCCCCATGGGTGCTACCTCTATACCATGGCCCTAACTGGCCCTTCTTTTGGGCCATAACCCTATCTCTTCACAAATATCCCCATGGGTGCTACCTCTATACCATGGCCCACACAGGCCCTTCTTTTGGGCCATAACCCTATCTCTTCACAAATATCCCCATGGGTGCTACCTCTATACCTGGGCCCTAACTGGCCCTTCTTTTGGGTCATAACCCTATCTCTTCACAAATATCCCCATGGGTGCTACCTCTATACCATGGCCCACACAGGCCCTACTTTTGGGCCATAACCCTATCTCTTCACAAATATCCCCATGGGTGCTACCTCTATACCATGGCCCACACAGGCCCTTCTTTTTGGCCATAACCCTATCTCTTTACAAATATCCCCATGGGTGCTACCTCTATACCATGGCCCACACAGGCCCTTCTTTTGGGCCATAACCCAATCTCTTCACAAATATCCCTATGGGTGCTACCTCTATACCATGACCCTAACTGGCCCTACTTTTGGGCCATAACCCTATCTCTTCACAAATATCCCCATGGGTGCTACCTCTATACCTGGGCCCACACAGGCCCTTCTTTTGGGCCATAACCCTATCTCTTCACAAATATCCCCATGGGTGCTCCCTCTATACCTGGGCCCTCACAGGCCCTACTTTTGGGCCATAACCCTATCTCTTCACAAATATCCCCATGGGTGCTACCTCTATACCTGGGCCCACACAGGCCCTACTTTTGGGCCATAACCCTATCTCTTCACAAATATCCCCATGGGTGCTACCGCTATACCATGGCCCTAACTGGTCCTTCTTTTGGGTCATAACCCTATCTCTTCACAAATATCCCCATGGGTGCTACCTCTATACCTGGGCCCTCACAGGCCCTACTTTTGGGCCATAACCCTATCTCTTCACAAATATCCCCATGGTTGCTACCTCTACACCTGGGCCCTCACAGGCCCTACTTTTGGGCCATAACCCTATCTCTTCACAAATATCCCCATGGGTGCTACCGCTATACCATGGCCCTCGCAGGCCCTACTTTTGTGCCATAACCCTATCTCTTCACAAATATCCCCATGGGTGCTACCACTATACCATGGCCCTAACTGGTCCTTCTTTTGGGCCATAACCCTATCTCTTCACAAATATCCCCATGGGTGCTACCTCTATACCTGGGCCCACACAGGCCCTTCTTTTGGGCCATAACCCTATCTCTTCACAAATATCCCCATGGGTGCTACCTCTATACCATGGCCCTAACTGGTCCTTCTTTTGGGCCATAACCCTATCTCTTCACAAATATCCCCATGGGTGCTACCTCTATACCTGGGCCCTAACTGGCCCTACTTTTGGGCCATAACCCTATCTCTTCACAAATATCCCCATGGGTGCTACCTCTATACCTGGGCCCTCACAGGCCCTTCTTTTGGGCCATAACCCTATCTCTTCACAAATATCCCCATGGGTGCTACCTCTATACCTGGGCCCTAACTGGCCCTACTTTTGGGCCATAACCCTATCTCTTCACAAATATCCCCATGGGTGCTACCTCTATACCTGGGCCCTCACAGGCCCTTCTTTTGGGCCATAACCCTATCTCTTCACAAATATCCCCATGGGTGCTACCTCTACACCTGGGCCCACACAGGCCCTTCTTTTGGGCCATAACCCTATCTCTTCACAAATATCCCTATGGGTGCTACCTCTATACCTGGGCCCTCACAGGCCCTACTTTTGTGCTAGCATGTGCACTGAAACACTGAAGAACAGAAGAGTTGAAATCCAACGATGTCTTCACGGACACTACAGCTTCAAATACGCCACTTCAAGATATTGTGCCTTGGGTTCTGGTAATATATAGCCGATTCAAGGAATTGACTCATCTCATTAAAATCAGATCTCTAGGGGGTATTCACCTGCAGCATACCTTCACATGGAAAGAATATCATTAATGACTGAGATCAAACTGAAGAAAATGAAAATTTAGTATTGTTATGCAAATGATTTTGGTAGAATTATTCTGATGATCATGATGTATGATTCCACAGCATACACATACATAACTGACAAGCAGAATAAAACCATCACCAGTGCAGGAGAGGCCAAGGCATGGCAAGAATTTGCCGTAAAAAAACAAAAGAAACAAAATTACAGGAAGTTACAACGCTGAAATTTCGGAGTAGACGCTGTATCTGGAAGATGCATTGTTGGCAGGCTGAAGAGGAATATAGCACATTTGACATAACTATTACCATGGTTACTGATTAATTAAAATTAAACATACTCAAATAAATCAACTGGAGTTACAGATATAAAACATGAACAAAAATACCAAACAAAAATAAATAAATTAACATAAATTAGCTTAAATGTTTTAACATGTTAAAAATTGTATGTGATTGCTACTAACTGTAATCAGGTAAAAAATATCATAAAAATACAAATTAATTTGACACAAAAATCAAATTTCTGTCTGATATTGTCAAATGTTTTATATATTTATACATAGATCTAAGACTAGCCATATCATAAAATCCTTCACATGGTCACATTTCTAGACAAAAGAGATCCATATTTTGAAATCTCCGACTACAAAATATGAAACGAAAATGTGAGCAATTGTCACAAGACTGCTGTGATCGGCTACAGGCATCTACTTGCTGTTACTAAGGCAACAAGGCTGATAAATTATCACTCCAATGTTCCACACTACTGTTAACCTGCAGTCACAATTCAAGTACCGTCCGGGTTCAGCTGCCATTATGATCCCCAATCCACTTTCTACGAAGGAAAACTCAAACCTACTAATATTTCTGTTTCCTAAAAGTTACAAATGTGGTATTTTACCCATGATATTGGCGAAAATATTTTCACATAAATCTCACTGAAGATTTTACTTTTTGCTTCATGCTGATTGGCTAATCCATGCCAAGTGTCCCCCATTCAGCTAGGTCACACAAGGTTGATACACTTGTGACATTGTTGGTTATATTAACCAATGGGATGGGACTATCAAATTTCACATCTGTCCTGAAACCTAGATGACATCTTCTTCATCCCAACAATGCTGAGGGAGATTTGACAAGTCAAAGGGTAAAATAATTGATCATCTGCTAAGCCTGTCAGTACTAAGTATATACTTGTGTATACAGATGTGTAATTTATTGCAGCTAGTTAAATTTTCCTGTAACGTGATATTTTAAAGAAAAAGGGAGTGTTTCCGCTGGCTTTTGAAACTGCCAGTCCTTGTGGACAGGCAACTCTAAAAATTACCAGTCCCCCTAATTTTTTCAACAAATAAAAAAACGTATGAAAATTATTTGGTTTTAATTCTTTCAACTTCATGTTTAGTGCAAAGATGTCAAACTCTGTAGTAATTTTAACTTAGTTAGATCTATATGTCATTCACACACTCACAATTTTCTCTTTGTTTTTTAATATTTTGAGACGGAGATGCTACAAATGGATATTTAACCTAGAAAGAGACAAGGGGAAACCCTGATGGTAACAGACCAGCTGATGCTGTTCAAAATGTACTTATATGAATACCACCGATTTTTTGTTCAACAACAAAGATTTATAAGTACTTTATTTGCCGGTCCACAGGGACTGGCAGTCACATGAATTACCAGTCCGAGCCTAATTTTACCGATAAAAAACTGGCAATTACTGGTAAACGGGAACACTGAAAATGGTTTATGGATTTGCTGACCCAAGAAATAAGAAATGTGGAACATCTTTATATGCTGCTTAAATTATGAAAGGGATATTTTACCCAAGTAATATGAAATGTGGAACATCTTTATATGCTGTTCAAATTATGAAAGGGATATTTTACCCAAGTAATATGAAATGTGGAACATTTTATATGCTGCCCAAATCATGAAAGGGATATTTTACCCAAGAAATATGAAATGTGGAACATCTTTATATGCTGCTCAAATTATGCTAGGGATATTTTTACACCAGTAATATGAAATGTGGAACATCTTTATCTTCTGGGATATTTTTATCTTTCCGTGACACACAAAACTGATTGTCATAATGTGTCAGGTTTATATTTAAATATAATGACATACCTGATCATCCCAAGCACAATTTGAGTAGCATATTTTAAAAAGGATTATTTCTTATATCCTGCCAAATGCAGACCAACATGTTCACCATCAAAAGATTGGGAACATAAAAAATAGGCTGACGCCACCAACTTGACAAAAATCACACATGTGGCGACTTACAAATATGTTTTTATCACCAAAACCAAAATAATATGTCTGTTATATTTTGATTTGTTTCTCAGTACCCAAGAAGATTGTTCATGAAATGACTTCACTTATTCCTAATTTATCAGCCTTGTTGTATGGGTGCCAGCACTCACAGACTGACAACAGAGAGCGCTACAAGCACACTACGCACCTGACGTGAGTGCTAGAGATCTCGTTGCCGGCGCTCGACTGCCTACTGTGCGTGAGAGAGCCGTACCCTGAACCCCGGGAATGCTGGCTTGCATAACTAGAACTCCGCGAGTGGCCCTTCTCAAACTCCTTCTCGCGAATAAATTCTGGGTCGGATTGATCTGGAAATATATTATTTCTGTGTTAAGAATTACCTGTCATGTCACACATGCCACATATGCATTGGTACAGTTCTTTATTCAAATACAATACATTTTAATTGTTCCAGCAATGATGGTGGCCAAATAAAGAAATATTTGAGTCTGGACCAGACAATCCAGTGATTGATACTATGAGGATGCAACCGTGAGTGAGTGAGTGAGTGAGTGAGTGAGTGAGTGAGTGAGTGAGTGAGTTTTCATCCTGCTTTTAGCAATATTCCATCAATATCACGGGCAGGGGACACCAGAAGTAAGTTTCACACATAGTGCACATAGCTTCCATTATCAAAATTGTATTCACAAAAGTTCCTGCAAACATCTGACATCAATATTAGTGGGTGTAAATGGGATCGTATAAATTGGGGTTATTCTACTGTGAGTAAAGGTTAAAAAAATATAACTAAAAAGATAGACATCAATATGACTAGGGTGGGTATGTTTGGGTAGGTTGCTTGGGTGGGAATGTTTGGGTAGGTTGCTTGGGTGGGTATGTTGTGTGGGTATGTTTGGGTAGGTTGCTTGGGTGGGTATGTTGTGTGGGTATGTTGGGTAGGTTGCTTCAGTGGGTATGTTGTGTGGGTATGTTGCGTGGGTATGTTGTGTGGGTATGTTTGGGTAGGTTGCTTGGGTGGGTATGTTGTGTGGGAATGTTTGGGTAGGTTGCTTGGGTGGGTATGTTGTGTGGGTATGTTGCGTGGGTATGTTGTGTGGGTATGTTTGGGTAGGTTGCTTGGGTGGGTATGTTGTGTGGGAATGTTTGGGTAGGTTGCTTGGGTGGGTATGTTGTGTGGGTATGTTGCGTGGGTACGTTGTGTGGGTATGTTTGGGTAGGTTGCTTGGGTGGGTATGTTTGGGTAGGTTGCTTGGGTGGGTATGTTGTGTGGGTATGTTGGGTAGGTTGCATGGGTGGGTATGTTGTGTGGGTATGTTGTGTGGGTATGTTGGGTAGGTTGCTTCAGTGGGTATGTTGTGTGGGTATGTTGCGTGGGTATGTTGTGTGAGTATGTTGGGTAGGTTGCATGGGTGGGTATGTTGTGTGGGTATGTTTGGGAAGATTGCATGGGTTGTGAGGATTGGATGATTTCAACAAATATACCTCTGGTAATTGTACTGGACTTTTCTTTCCGCGGTAGACTCCCAAAGCCACTGCTGTTGGAGGCCAGGCTGCCCTCGCTGCACTCGTCCCCGAGGCGGCACTCCGCCGACTGTCCCTCCTTGCTCTCCGGCACGTTAAGGCTTTCTTTGATAGGCCTGACAAAGCATTGAAGGCATGAGGGGTGGTTCTGTGTGGCATTGCTTGTTTCTTGTTTCATGCTACAGTCTGCACTATTCCAGCTCTATCCTGGCAGTACGTGAGTTATTCAGTTTGGGCCAGACAAACCAGTCTGCCATGGCCAAAACATGTATTTCATACTTTTGTTCAGTAGAATTCAGTCAACATATGGACTATTATCATAATTATTAGCAAAGCTTACCAGACGAAAATAATGTTTCCAGCTTCAGGCTATGGACTGGTGGCTATAGTTGCCATGGTTGCAGACCGAATCATTTGTTGATATTATGATGTTTGTTTGTTTGTTGATTAACGCCGCACTCAGCAATATTCCAGCTATATGATGGCGGTCTGTAAATAATCGAGTCTGGACCAGACAATACAGTGATTGATGGCGTGAACATCAATCCATGCAATTTGGATTCGGTGACATGCATCATAAACTAAGTCAGCAAGCCTGATCATTCGATTCTGTTAGTCGCCTCTTACGACAAGCATAGTTGCCTTTTACGGCAAGCATGGGTTGCTGAAGATCTATCCTACCCCAGATCTTCATGGGTCTGTTGATATTATGAGCAGCTTGAGCAACGGATTAGGTGAGTGAGTTTGGTTTGACACCAGTTTTAACAGTATGCTTGAGGCTTGCTCCCGTAATATTTGTATCTGGAGATTTATAAGGATAACTCCCAAAAAGCCTAAAATCTTTACCTTAAACATCAGACAAACTGACACTAGTGCTCACTATCTATATCTCTATCATAATAATAGGGAGTTTTCTTGTTAAGCAATGAATTTACTGAAGCAGTCATAAAATATAACACAGCATTCAATATACCACTATCAGGAGTAAAGGTTTGAAGCATGCGTAAAATCATGAACAATTATATGGGGTCGTTTTTCTGCTTCAATTTATTTGACTGTTGTATGTCAGTGCCCTACTCTGCTAGACCACTCATACGTTAGTTCACTAGTCTAAACTAGTCTAAGACTAAATCTGCTAGTCTTGGGACTAGTCTGAATCCACTAATCTGCTAGTCTTGGGACTAGTCTGAATCCCTAATCTGCTAGTCTTTGGACAAGTCTGAATCTACTAATCTGCTAGTCTTCAGACTAGTCTGAATCCCCTAATCTGCTAGTCTTCAGACTAGTATGAAATCCCTAATCTGCTTGTCTTCAGACTAGTCTGAATCCCCTAATCTGCTAGTCTTCAGACTAGTATGAATCCCTTAATCTGCTTGTCTTCAGACTAGTCTGAATCCCCTAATCTGCTAGTATTCAGACTAGTATGAATTCCCTAATCTGCTTGTCTTCAGACTAGTCTGAATCCCCTAATCTGCTAGTCTTCAGACTAGTATGAATCCCTTAATCTGCTTGTCTTTGGACTAGTATGAATCCCCTAATCTGCTTGTCTTTGGACTAGTATGAATCCCCTAATCTGCTTGTCTTTGGACTAGTATGAATCCCCTAATCTGCTAGTCTTCAGACTAGTCTGAATCCCCTAATCTGCTTGTCTTTGGACTAGTATGAATCCCCTAATCTGCTTGTCTTCAGACTAGTCTGAATCCCCTAATCTGCTAGTCTTCAGACTAGTATGAATCCCTTAATCTGCTTGTCTTTGGACTAGTATGAATCCCCTAATCTGCTTGTCTTTGGACTAGTATGAATCCCCTAATCTGCTTGTCTTTGGACTAGTATGAATCCCCTAATCTGCTAGTCTTCAGACTAGTCTGAATCCCCTAATCTGCTTGTCTTTGGACTAGTATGAATCCCCTAATCTGCTTGTCTTTGGACTAGTATGAATCCCCTAATCTGCTGGTCCCAAAACTAGTGTAAATCCAATAATGTGCTACATCCTACAATCTGCTAGACCTGGAACTAGTGTAAATTTAGCAGAATTACCTGTGTGCTCCCATAAAGCTCTATTCCAAAGTTAGTTATACACCAAGCATGGGATTTGCAATTGTACAGGAGTTGAACCTATGCTTATGACAAACACATCCACCATTAGACTACCCACCTCTTCCTTACGTTCAGTGAGTTGGCAAATTGGGGGGAAAATACAGGGGTTTCTCTGGGTTCTTAAATTCAGAGGTATTTTACCAGTGCATTCTCAGCTTTTCATTCTCAGGCTTACAATCATCGAAGTGGGGAGATCCCTTTATTCGTTCTAACTGTATTAACATTAATTGAGAAGGTTTTAATTTAAGTTTGGGAATTTTTAGTGACACTTGCTGCAGATTTGGGATGCATATCGGCCTCTGGATTGGCTTATATAAATCCATGCACACAACTGAACAAATGAACAAGACTATTTAATAAGTCCATTAGAACAAAAGAAAATTGTAACACAAGTGTGTAAAGCATACTATTCATGGTGATTACAGCAAAATATAAGAAAGAAAGTTAAAATCTTACTTTTCAGTACTTTTATAAAAACATATCATGATTGTATGGAGTTAATGTTTAAGAATTTTGAATATAACTTAGATTCTGAAATAGATTTATGGATCCACAAAAATTCTAAATGGATATATTTCAATAAATCGATAGCATGCTGAATATTGTAACATGTACATAGGTAAATATTCCTTACACTTTAAAGACAGGATCGCCGGATATAAGCAGCATCTCGATGGAGACAGTCAGCGTAGAGTTGTCTACCCTGTGCTTGTCATCGTAGCCTTCCAACAGAAAGCGTCGGGTTTGCTGCCCAGACCCCGCAAACTCAGCTAGATTCAGATCCACGAAGCCCAGCTTCTGATGGGATCTGCCGCCTCGGACCTCCTGGAAACAAAGACAACATCATTGTCAAGTTGATAATCAGATACATAGGGGCTATCAAACTCTCAACACTAGGAGACCGCCTCTGTGGTCTAATGGTAGAGCATCCGCCCAGAGAGCGGAAGTTCCGGGGTTCGATGGTACTTGTTGTTACCCTGTCTGGGGCTAGGCATTAAGGGGCTAAAACAAGGACTGGTCGGCTCGGAGTCAGTATACTGTGTCTGAGTGGGGTATTCATGTTAAACTGCGGCATGGTATCTCAGTGTGCTAGCACTTTAAATCGGCATCAGTCCGGACTAGTACAAGCAGCCACACACACACACATACACGCGCATGCACGTCGCTATATAAGTGCAATAATCTTGGACGCGACGTTAAACCCCATTTCACCTCACCTCAACACTAGGCCTTCAGTTTGCTGTGTAGGAGTTAAAAGTATAAAAAGACAAAATGTCCATGTCTTGATTATTTAACAAAATCATTAATAATTTGCATGCTGGAATGAATATATACCACTAAAACATGTTTAGGAACACCATGACAGATCAACTATAGCAATATGAAAGGATTGGGTTAGTCGTATGCTATCAATGCGTGTAAACAATGAAAGGGAGCATTCTTGCTACAACACAATTCTAAGTAAAACATACAATATTCATAGACTGTAATGCTCTTCACAATATATTGTCATCTGTAATACAACCACGCCTATAATGCAACACCCAAAACTAGGGCTGGCTATCGACATAAATCTTAGAGATCGATAATCATTAGCTGAATAATTATCAATTATCGATAAATATCGGAGAAGTAACTTTGAGCAAATATGCGAAAAGCTCAGAGACAAAACATCATATTTCAAGTCACTGTTGAGTGGTGACACATTGTGGACAATTAAGATATAACAAAATCAGTTGCTTGCCATCTTCGGCAATGGTCAAAAACAAGTTTGTTTCGGTAAATCAGTAGGATATTATGAACCAATTTTCATACCGATAATCGTTAATATTTCTTCCCTTCTATGATAACTCCGATTATCGATCATTTTAGGCCAGCCCTACCCAGAACACGTTGGTGCAGACGCATGTATAAACTCGCTCACACACAATGTACAAACCTTTGTAAACGTTTAATTAAAAAATATATGCTTTTTTTCTTCAATGATTTGTCAAAATAGGGGCAATGGGTTGATGTTTAGAGAGACTGACATAATGAACCAAAACAGTTGGGGATCATGAATATTTGGGGGGATATTTTTACGAAAATTGTGTGCTCAGTCTTCACTACAAAAAAATATTTATCAAAATATTCATGATTTTGAATTTTGGCTATGTACATACATTCCATAGAAAACGTCAATCCTGCATCTTTTGCTTCATGCAATCACAACATAAACCAGACCCATTTCACAAAGCGATCTTAGCACTAAGACATGTGTCACTATCATTTTGAAAAACAGACTTCTGACAATCATAACGCTAAGACGGCTTAGTTGGACAAAGCCTGGCCACCTGCCTCCCATATCAATCTCACAAGGGGAGGAAACGGCTGAAAGTTCTTATGACATGTTGGTTCGATTTGCCTGTGCTCTATCTACTGATTCTCGATCAATGCAGGTACGTGATGAGCGTTCATTGTTTTGTTGACCGACGACACAAATCAATGTCCCCTATGGGAAACCCATCGTGTCTTAACATGCTTACACCCTATCTTCACTTTGTACTGTCAATATTCTCATTGCCCACAGAATTTTTTTGCGAATGAATGATAACAAACTGCCGAGATAAAACTTAACTTTATCTATTTCCAAAATAAGATCAATATTTTTACCATGTTTACTTCAAACTGAATTTCTTTCTCACTCAATTACATTAATGAAAGAAAACAAACACAACACTACTGAATGAATTTATGTTATGTAAAACACCCACTGATATTCAAATATTTTCGGCATACAGCATAAGCAGTGAGGGGAAAAAACTAACAGTACTATTTAATCATGTTAGTGACTATTGATATAATAAACAAAACATTATGTTCAGCTCCCTCAGTCAGGCAATTTGAGTAGGAGGGGAAGTTTACAAATATGCATTTGAAAAATTTTAAAATTTGAAATTGTGCACTCAACCAATCTAATAAAAATCAGACCTTAGTTCTCGCTACCGCTCAACAAAGATCTGAAGACATCCCATTACGGGTCACGTCAGAACGACCTTTCATCCGACCAATCAGTGCGTCGCTTACCAGATTATGAAAATGACAGTCGGAATGTGATTTCTAATCATGCAATCTCGTAAAAAAATTAACATGGGGTATTCAGAACGATAGTTACGGGTTTAAAGACTGAATCCTTACAATCTTGACCATTTATTAGCCATTCGAGAATGGTTTTTCTTTTCAGGTTTCTAAATTTGTAATTGAGAATTTGTCAAAATATGTTTCAAAGCGTAATCGCCCAACCCTGGTCCCCCTCTATTCTCCAAAAAGTGCCCCCTCAACAAGCCACATGACAGGGACTGGATGAAATTACCAGTATACCCGTCAACTGTTATATGCTTTTCAAACGATATGTATTTCAATACTTTCTTTGGCATGTTCTGTTATATCATGTTACATTGGGTAAAAAATATATAATACGTTTGGTTATCATTTGTATCGTTTAACCTTACAATCTACACAGAAATTCATTCACAAATAATGTTCCCCTTCGATATTGATTGGCAAAATGGCAACAACTGACCATGCTGAGTAATATTCACCTTAGTTTGAAAAATCAGTGTCAATCACTGTTAAACACTTTACATTGTTGCTAACATACCTATATCAGAGCCCTACAGATCACCACTTAGTTGATCATGCTGATATGACGTGTATCTGTCTACCACTGCAATCTGTCTGTGAATCATCGATGACATATATCTAAACTGCTAGAACACCATAATGGCTGTTCAGTTGAGCAAGTAAATCAATTATGATGAAGAGCTCATCTTACCCCCACAAACAGCTTTGTGTAAATCCATAAACATTGATAAGGTCTTAGTATTAACACTGTGTGGAAGATGGCCTTGACAAAGCTACCTCCCTGAAGACTATTTATCTGCGGCTCATGATATGACTGACACAACACATGACCACAGCTGCATCACGTGTATGGTCCACAGGGAATCTCCACAGTTAGCCATACATGAATTGGATCACATTATTATGTTTAGTGTTTAATCATGTTTGCACCAGACAACAGCGTTAGAAATTGGCACTAGTCCTGTAGTCCCTGCCAAACTGCCCAATAGTTAAGGTATCATAAGGACTATTAGAAATTTGCCATTATAAGGACTAGTGGACAAAATATGATAGTTTCTACCCCTGGACAAGCCAGTCATTGACGTTATAATCAATATCCTATACCACCATGATGATGACCCATCATCAAACAAGACCATCTGATCATGGGTGTGTGAGAAAGTGGTTTCGAGGCATACTGGGCTGGAACCTGGGAACCTCTTCTGCCCTAGAATCCCCACAGGGAGACAAGCATTGGGTACTGGGGACCTCTTCTGCCCTAGAATCCCCACAGGGAGACAAGCATTTGGTACTGGGGACCTCTTCTGCCCTGGAATCCCCACAGGGAGACAATCATTGGGTACTGGGGACCTCTTCTGCCCTAGAATCCCCACAGGGAGAAATTCATTGGGTACTGGGGACCTACTCTGCCTTCAGCTGTTCGGAATCCCCAGTGGGACACAAGCACAGAGCAGTTGGGACCCTTTCTGCAGCCCCAGGAGGACACACGCATGGGGTGTTGGAACCAATTCCCAAGTGGATGTCAACAGTAAGAACACATCCTGGAAGGACTTCCCTGACTTACAATGTGCCTACACCATACTGCAAGAACACCCGACAATTATGTGCATTGCTGTGACAGATGAAATGTCCTCTACTTCTGACACCAACTGGTACAATACAGGAAAGAATTTATGGATGTCAACTTCTTAATTATGAGGAACACAACGTTTCAAATTGCTTACTCCTTCATCAGGTGAACGATGGTGTAAGCCTCAATACTCCTAAACGTTGTGTTCCTCATAATAAAGAAGTTGACATCCATACACTCTGTCTCTCATGTGTATCACTTCTAAATGCCATTCAAAGACTTGATAATACATACCGTGGGAAACATGCTAAGAGGTCATGTGACCCATTTTATTATTTCTGTAAACAGTTCAACTTCCCTCCTAAATAAGTTCCTTCATTAGGCTATAGCGGAAACACTGCACTTAATCCCCCTGCAATGTTCTACACAGAGCAAACCAAGTATGGCTGTATAGATTGTATGTCAATGAGGTAATTGTATCCTGCAAGGTTCACAGGCAGAACACTGAGACCCAAGTGTGAAGGCTTTGTGTTCGAAAGAAGGTGTTGATCTGATAACATGAACAAGTCCTGAAACAAAGTCAAACATTCGCAAGGACTAGTGACTGTGTTTAGACTGTTAGTCTCAACCTTAGGATATGTCATGGAGCCCTTGACATTCATTCTTGTCAGCAAGGTCTGCATGGTATTACCTGTATACAGGTATTTTGTAAATAAATGAATTTCTTCAGGCATGTAGCAGGTGCTTGTTCTTCAAAGTTATCCTAGTGCTACAGTCATTGCTAACAGAGTGTGTTAGTATTACAAGCATCACAGCGACTGACCCACCGTCACACCGCTAGGATTGGACAAAGCCTATTGTAAACATGGGTTTGGCAGAGGGTGAACAAAATGTCTGGCACTTTGTTGAATGTTGCGGCATTTAACAGTCAGTGTGAGAGCTGCTTGTGAAACACGCCTCTTGGGCCTCATACATGACACTCACACAGGACAAGGGAAAGACCTGTTTTACAGTGCAATCAGCAATCTTACAACTCTATCATTGCAGTCTGCAGTCACTGCTGAACACTGGCAGCCAGGAATCTTGCCATAACTTGCTTGATCAATTGGGTACCATAGTTCCGCAGCATTGT